CTTTTCTACTGTTGAGTTTCAGTTCCATTATGGTCAGAAAATATATATTCTGAATGATTTCAGTGTTTTCAATTTGTTGAGGTTTGTTTTATGCTCCACAAAATAGTCTATATAGGTGATTTATACATGGGTGCTTGGGAAAAATATGTATTCTACTGTTGTTAGGTGAAGTATTTTATATATATATGTCAATTAACATCCTGTTGGTTGATTGTGTTGTTTGGATTTTCTGTGTCTTTGGTGATTTTTTTTCTAGTATTTTTATTATCTGCTTAGAGGGGGACATTGAAATAGCCAACTATAATTGTTACATGGGTATATTTTAATACATTTTAGTTTTGTAATTGATAACATATAAAAAGAAGCAAAGCATATAAGAAAGATGCAAAAATTATATACAATATATAATTTATTATGATATAAAACATGAAAATTATAGAAAGAAATATGTAAAAACAAATTTTTTTCAGTGTATTTTTTTATTATTGAGGTACAATTGACATACAATATTATATTAGTTTAGGTGATATGATTTCAGGTGATGTAATGATCTGATATTTTTGTATATTGTAAAATGATCACCACAGTAAGTCTTAAGTCACAGTGAGTTAATATCCATCACCAGACATAGTAACAGAATTTTTTTCTTGTGATAACTTTTAAGATTTAATTTCTTCACAACTTTCATATATGCAATATAGTATTACTAACTATTGTCACTATGGTGTACATTACACCTCCATGACTTATTTTTTTTATAACTGGAAGTTTGTACCTTTTGATTCCCTTTACCCATTCCCCCACCCCCACCCCCTGCCTCTGGCAACTACCAATCTGTTCTCTGTATCTAACCTTGGTTTTAGTTGTTGTATGATCCTGTTAATATATCATTGAATTTGGTTTGCTAATATCTTGTTGAGGATATTTACATCTCTAATTAGCAGGGATATTAGAAATATGCCATAATTAATGACAATTATACATTATGATAGGGTTATGGGTAAGTTATTCTCTATCTTTAGATTTTTGTGTGTGTGATTCCAAAAACAATATAAAAATCTTAAAAATTACTTATTGGATGGATGACATATACTCTTATTTGTAGATATTTGATAACAAAAATAATGCCACATTTTTCAAGTTTATCGTTCCTCTCTAGATCTTCAGGAATCACTCAAAATTATGTTTCAGAAATATAGTGGGCAAGCACTCATCATACAATATCCTATTAACAATATTAGTCTTGCTAATGATGATCTTAATTTAAAAAAGAATACATGGTCGCATTTTTAAGAACAGGACCTCCAAAATAATATTTAATGTTAGTTATTTCTTCTGTTATTGGGCTTTATGTTATTTTTATCTGTGTTTTTAAACAAACCTTGAAATTTCTTTATGACACAATTTCTGAAAATAGTTTTGGTATTTATTTCTTAATAGACATTTGAGATTTTTAGAAAAAATATTTTATAACTCCTAAGTATTATTATCTTCTTTTCAGAAAATTATCAAATAAATATGTAAATTAAAATTTGAGCCTGTGATTCTAATTTACTCCTGAAACTTTTTATATTGAAACTTTTTATACTGAAATATTGTACTGAAACTTTTTATATTGAAATTCTTTATACTGAAATTTTAATATTCAGCTTCTCATCAAAACGACAGCTATACCCATAAGACTCTTCACTGTATTTTCCCTTAAATAATATGCTTTTAATTTGTCCATCCATGCTTCCTTCATTCAAAAATATTTTAGTCTTCCTTTGGAAATAAAAAATTAACACCTAATATTAATTTTTCCCAGTTCAAAGTCTCCTCACTGATATATTATCAGGTAGTTTAAAAGTTTTTATTCCATTATGTTCCTGACTTATTTCACCGAAGGCTTACATGTATAGTTTTAGGCAAAAATAAGTTGAACAAAGTCACCCTTCCTACATTCAAATTCACACATTCTTTATCTTCTAGAGAATTAACTTCTGTACAAATGTCTGCATGGAAATTTAAAAATTCAGTAAAATATCTGGAATTTTTAAACAATACTGATACTAGTGTTTTGTCTATATTTGCCTCTAATTCTACCTTTAATTTCAGCATACTTGATAACAATTTGCTGTATTGCAAAGCTTATTTCAAAGACATCTAAAGATTGATCATTTTTATTCTTTTCCTGGCCTTCAATCTTATAGAGGTAGAGAATACTGCAGTTGTTAGAAGACCAGGCATTTATTCTTCACTTTCTCTCAGTGTTTGTGGAAAAAGCCTTTAATATTATTAAATCTGAAGGTCTGCTTCCTCTTGCCATGTAAGATCTGAATGTCCTCATGGGGGTTATTCCCTGACTTTCTGAATGGCCCACAAAAAGTTTGCCTGAGGAAGAAGGCTTATCTGCTCCATCACAAACAGAGAAGAACATGACAGGAAGGGACAAAGTATACACACAATGTGTGTCTTGTTTGCATCTTTTTTATTTGTGTAGGATTTTATATGAGTTCAGGAGGTTTGGGTATTTTGAGACTTGAAAAAATTGTTGATTTCATTTCGAAGATTAAGTTAATCAAGAAGGTCTAGAATTTTAATGACGATATACTAACAAATAAAACACACAATTTTACTCATTTTTTTTCTACTGATTTGGGTTTTATAAGGAGTTATACCATTCACAAATCTTTTTTTCTGAAAAATTGTCCATTTAGGTATTTCTGGGTCCTATACGATGAGATTGCTAAAAGAGGGGAGATGCTGATGCTGTCCCAAGCTGCTATGATCAAACTACAGTGCTTTTTTTTTTTTTACAGATTTTATTTTATTTATTTGAGAGCCAGAGAGCAGGAGCTGGGGGGAGAAACAGAGGAAGAGAGAGGGAGAAGCAGGCTCCCTACTGAGCAGGAAGCCAGATGCGGACTGGATCCCAGGACCCTGGGATCATGACCTGAGCTGAAGACAGATGCTTAACGTACTGAGCCACCCAGGTGCCCCACTACAGTGTTTTCTTAAATTGTATTTCAAGATCTTTTTACAACCACCTTGACATTTGTGAGGGTCAGACTCAGGTATAGTTACTAAATCATTGTTAAATGTTTTGTCTCTTTTATTACCAATTAATCAGGTAATCTTTATAAAACATCCAAACTTAACATTGACTGAGGTCATCCACAAATAGTCTTTCCTTTTTTTTCCCAGAGTAATTGAGAAAAGAGTTTTATAATATATACTCTGAGGATCCTTTTAAGAAGATGAATAAAATTTGACTATTTTCTAAAAGATAATTTGAAAGACTCTTATGTTTGATTATGTATATATAGTTATTACCGGAAAAGGGATAATAGGGACATCTGGGTGGCTCAATCAGCTAAGCATCTGCCTTCAGCTCAGGTCATGATCCCAGGGTCCTGGGATCGAGTCCCGCATTGGGCTCCTTGCTCAGCGGGGAGCTTGTTTCTCCCTCTCCCTCTGCCTGCCGCTCCCCCTGCTTGTGCTCTCTCTCTCTCTCTTACAAATAAATATATAAAATCTTTAAAAAAAAGAAGAAGAAGAAAAGGGATAATAGCTTATATGTGTAAAGAGCTCTTAAATTAATAAGAAATTAGCATGTCAATGGAAATAGGCAAGGAATAAAAAACAGGAATTTACACAGAGCTAAACCTAGCCAAAATTCATTTTAAAAAGATCTATCTAATGCAAATTAAAATGTAAAGGCAGTGATTTTTGTCTGGCAATTAGTATTAGGTTCAATAAATATTTATTGACCAAATAAATGAAGCAACATTTTTCACCTATCAAATTGGGAAAGACTTTTAAATGATATAAATTCTCACAATTGACAGGATATCCAAGCAAAAAATAATATTATCATGTAACTACCAATTCAAACTATGATATTGAACATCTAGATTCTAGATTTTATTTTAGCTTACAGCTTTTGTATAAAATTAAGAAGAGAAATACATTTTAGAACAGAATATAGTCATTCTCAAATTAATTTCACTTTAAAAAATAATTGACAATAATGTTAATGTAAATAGCAAGCTAATCTCAATTTAATCTATAAAAGAAAAATTAGTTTAAACTATATCATTTAAACAGTGTTTAGATTACAAGAAATTTTACATTAAGGTATATATAAATAGGTATTAATTCCAAATATTACTATCCCCAGTGAGAAAATTTTCTCCAATATATGGTCAGATGGAGATAGAAAGTGCAAAAATGTAGATATTCTGAATAAGGTCACTAAACAGAAAGCGGGGTTTCATCTTCCCCATCAGCCTTAATTCCAAGGAACGGTAGAAAACTCTAGGGAAAATAAAATGCCGATCTACCCTTGTCATATTATTGACACTTCTTAATGTTTGGGGTTCTCCTAAAAAATTAATTACCTTCCTCATCTACAGTTTATCTATGGTGCCCAGAAACCATTGACTTCCTGGAATTTTTATTAAGAATTCCACATTCTTGCCATGTTTTTCAGATACTGTGGCCTCTGCCAATAAATTCTAATAAATTTTCACTTCTATTCTTTCAATAACATCTTAGAGAATGTGATTCAGACTCAAATTAATCACCGATCATGTTAATGGTTCCTAGGAGTTTACTTCTGATACCCCTTATTATATTAAATCAAGCTTGATAGTGTGCTAGATCATTGCTCAGCTGGGTTTTCATAAAAGCACTGGTATTTAATATGATTTATACCTGGTTTTCTGTTAATATCTTTGCTTATTGTATGCTAGACATTCTTAGCAAATGGCACCCCCTTAAAATATATCATGCTTTTAAAATATTTTACAGGAAGCATTTTACAGTAAAATGTGTTACTTCTTTTATATGATAGTCACATAATAGTGAACAGGAACAACTTATTTAATTTATAATCAAAATATTAATGTTTACATTGTAGTTTGGAAAAAGTATGCATACATGTTCATGTTTTGCTTATATAAAAGATCAATTACCTGCCAAGATTATTAGGAAATTTAAAGTATTATTTTTTTAAGCTTTGCAGCAAAGGGGCAGCTCTGGGAAAACCATTTGAAGCATCTGCTGAGGATATAGCAAGTGTGGCAAGTTTCATCGAGACAAAGCTTGTTACATGCTATCTACGCATGAGGAAACCCGACCTTGCCCTGAATCATGCACACAGGTAAAATGAAGTATTAATAACTGCAAGTAAATACTGTTCATACAAGCAGAGGGCACTATGTGAGCTTGTATAATCAACTTCCATTTCATTTAAATTTAAAGGCAAAACAAAAAAAAATATTTCTTTACTACTTGATTTATGTTAAGCTAGACAATCACTGGGAGCACAAAGGGCTTCTCAAAACCTAATGGAAAGAACAGACACATAAACAATTACTCATAATGCAGGGTAAGATAAAAAGGCAGATAACTGGAGTAGCAAATTATTACAGTAAGAGAGGAGAGAGTGAATAAGGTAAGTAAGGGATGAGAAGATTTTCAAAACTGCACACGATCTGGAGAATGGCAGAAGGAAATTTGGACTGTAAAACACAGGCAGAGACTTGATGTTCATGGCTTATTTGGTGATAGGATAGCTGAGTCACGGGATGCTATGCAAGGGTAGGTGTGACAGCTGTCCAAAGGTGCAAAACACTTACCATTGTCCCTAAGGATTTCTTTTTCATATTTCTATCCTTCTTCAGAAGTCTGTATCATTATGTTATCTTGCGGCTTCCTAGAATCCCCAAGCTTACCTAGACCTCTTTTTCTCTCTTTTTTGGGGGGGGCAGGGGGGCTTTGTTTTTGTTTTGTTTATTACTTACTTTTTAAATTATTTTTATGTTATGTTAATCACCATACATTACATCATTAGTTTTTAATGTAGTGTCACAGACCTCTTTTTCTTCTATAAACATATACCTCTCATATGTCCTGTTTCCTAAAGGCCTTGCTCTTACCGTGGGTAATATTCAGTTTAATCTACAGCAAAGATAAAGTGATTATGTTATACCTTTCAAATAACTTTTTCCTTAGAATTATGATGCCTCCTCCCCTCCCTGCCTAACTTTGAACAATTTACCTAGAACTTTCTGTCTTGTTTATTCTCTGATCTCAGACATCCTGTACTTCCTTTGGATACAAATAACAAAACTAATATAAACATGAAAACATAATGCCTGCCTTGTTAATAACCACTAGGAAACATAGCTATCAGTTATACTAAAACCCACCTCATGAGCGGGAGATCTGCCAACATGGTAAACATTTACAGCTCCACATCCATGAGGATATAAAAGATCTACCCAAGATTCTCCACATTCATAAGGAAACCTCGAGTTTGTAGGCTAAAGCTTGCCATCAGGGACCTGCAGACAACAAAATCACTTTGAAATTCATAAGATAACCTTCTTGAAAGAAATTTTTCTGCTTAAGTAAACTACAGAACCTAAAGGCAGAGTCTCTTTGACACCAAAAAAAAAAAAAAAAAAATCAAACCTATACTTTCTGGAAACATTTTATGCAGCCATAGTTTCCAAACCCAGTATCAAGACATACAGTCTGTCAAATAATTTTTGTCCATTTCCACTTAAAAGGACCAATATTAGAAATATAACATATATTTCAATATGTCAAAATACTGGAATTTCTGGGCTACTTGGGCGACTTGTGATCACAAGAGGAAAAATATTTTAAATTTGAACTGACCCAGAAAATGTATAGGCATATGTAAATAATAATAAATTGAGATGCACTGAAAGTAATTATTTATCACCTTCTCCATGATTTTCACCACACATAAAAAGGATCACCAACATGGCCTACATTTTAAGGAAAAGAGCTCCTGGGATATCAGAATGATTTGATGGACTTTTAAATCATTTTTAATAATAAAAGAATTCCAAATTGTATGGTCATGTCAAAACTCAATTCAGTGTTATAAAAATAATTATGAACATAAGTAAAAAATTCCACTGCAATCCAAATATAAGAAACAATAAAATGCTACTGGTCCTAAGAATGCCAAGATAAACTTCAATAGGTTCATGATTTAGATTTAGCAACTCTTGTTTTAAAACTAAGAGCGTTCTTTCAATACTTGAAAATTGCTGAGAAGAGGATATATAATGGTGAATAGCAAAATGATCTTACATATTACACTTGGATTAACTTTCATCTTTTTTTCCTATTGTAAAATAACTTTTGCTTCTGTTTCTAAGTTGAACATTAAGTAAGAAATGAAAATCAATAGAGGTTAAACAGTCAATTCATACAATTAATAATGCACCAAGTGAGATAAATCATTTTCTTGGGCTTGTCATATTGCAGAAGTCAGTGCATAGGATTCTAATATTAAAGTGTTTTTAGAGAGCTCAGATTTTAAAACACAGTCTGATATATAATCAATAAGTATGTTTCTCAAAATTAATTAATTAATCAGAATTCTCAATCTATAAATAGCTTACAACCATTAGGTATACAATGAATGCAGAATTTTGCTTTTGTATTATTACCACTTTGTGTTGATGGTTGCTACTAATCATGAATCAAAATTAAAATATTCCTTTTTTGCATTTATATGCATTTGCTAAGCATTCTTTCTTTAATTTTATGTAAATGTGAAGTCTGCTGCATATCTTTAGGAGATTTGTTAGCACAAAAATTAGCTTAAAAATCATCTATAGTTTTGCTTCTGATAAAAATAAGTGCATATTGTTATGTCATATACAAGACTACAAGAGCCATAACTTTATGGTTTGAAGTTCAACAAAGATACATTTTGAAATTAATCAGGTGTGTATTGTTATTTAAAATATAATAATAAGTGATATAAAGGCTCTGGAAACAACTATTAACAATTGTTTTCCTAATAACATGTCCAAAGTGGCAGATATGCATATCATGGTTTGTTTTTGGTTTTTTTTGTTGTTTTTACTTCAACCAAAAGCTATGCCTAGATTCACCAGTCAAACACATCCTTGCTTACCTCATCAGACTAGTGCCATTGTTTATTAGGAAGTGTTTTGAATATTCCTGAGATAGATTTCTAATTACTGCTATCTTATCAAGAATAGAAATCCTGCTATCTCTTTTTCTATCTTATAATTATATTTTGATGTATATAATTGTAAAGATTTTAATGGTGCATATCACTTTTTTGCATGTTCCTCATCTGTAGATTCTTGTTTGTTTTTGTTGCAGAATTTTGATGCCACAAGGTAGAAGGCAAAATGAAATCTAAAATATCAGATATATAGAAAACATCCTATTTTCAAAATTGTTTTAGAATGGTGGCATCTACATTCATTCATTCCTTCATTCATTCCACAAATATTTATTGAATGCCTACCAAAACCCTGTGCTATGCAGTGGGGAAGCAGTTGTAAACAGGAAATGTATTATACACATTACGAGAAATGTCAAATTGTAAAAAACAAATAAATATTAATAAATACATGAGAAAAAAGAATGTGATAAATGCTATGAAGGAAATAAACACAATTTCATGTTGCAGAGGCAGTATAGTATATTAAATCAGAGCAGAGTCTGGAATCTGACTGTCTAGGATTAAATTCTGACTCCCCACTCATTAGTTAGCCTGAGTTTAACTCTCTATAACATTGGGTTATAATTATAGTACCTACTTCAGAAATATTATTTCACAAAGTTTTGTGAAAATTAAATCTAAATCCATGAATTTTTCATTCCACCTATGACAGAGTTACTGGTATTAGACCTGTCTTTCTACTGTAAACAAATAAAACTGGACAAAATATATGAGGCAACTATTTTCAGGTATTGGATAAAGGTCACAGCAGAACCATGATCCCTGAAAGAAGGGAAATACATATGGTGAGCCCCACAATTTTCTCAGTTTTTTGCTGGGGTTATTTTCCTGCCCTACTTCAGGGAGATGGATATCAAGTTAAATTGCAGTCTCACTGAGCTGAGGAGGCAGAGATTAGAACACTAGGCTGAAAAATAAGCTGTAATTTATAGGGTAAATGGCCAAAGAAGAGGTGGCTGTATGAGGGGATGGGGGCAGAAATCTGCATGAGGATATACTATAGGTTCTTGTCCAATGTGAGGAGTGAGACTCCATGTAGCAGAGATTGCCTGCTGCAGGACTAAGTGCTAAGTGGAAATATAAGAGGACCTGCAGTGATGGGACGGGTTGGAGTGACAGTCTGAAAAGACCTCACTGAGTACCTCAGGCATTCAGTTGAGACCCCAGAAAGGCCATGCTTCAGGAGTAAGGACCATGACCTCTAGAAAGGGCCACTCCTTAGGATTAAACCAAAAGAGATCTGCCCTAACAAAGACTAAAGCCAAGCATGACAAGAACAAGAGTATACACTATTTGTTTGATAGGAAAAACAAACAAACAAAAAAAATCAACAAGTTCACAGGGATGATGTCATAATCCTGATTCCTTACAAAGTTTCAACCAAAATGTCTGGCATAAAATTAAAAATTAATACACCTGCAGAGAAATAGGTAAATAAGACTCATACTTAAGAAAGTAAACAAGCCATAGAAACAGACACCAAGGTGACTCATATGTTGGAATTGGTAGAGAAAGATTTTCAAGAAGCTATGAAAAATAGGTCCAAGGCCCTTGAGATAAAGATAGTAATAATAACTGAAGAGATGAGAATCTCAACAGAAAAACAGAAACTAAGAAAAGAACCAAATAGAGATTTTAGTATAGATTAATAAAATATCTGAAATTTTGAAATGTACTGGTTGACCTTAACATTAGTATGGAGACTGTTAAAGATTGAAGATGAATTTATAGAAATTACCCAATGTGAGAATGGAAAGAAGAGAGATTTCAAAAAATTAACCAACTGCAGTGACCTGTCGTCAGGGACAGTAGCAGGAAATCTAACATACGTGTAATTGAAGTCTCAAAGGGAAAGGAAAGAGAGAATAGGACATTAAAATAATTACTGAAAATTTTCCAAATTTGATTAAAAAAAAGGGATATCCAGTTAGCCCCAACTAGGATAAAAACAAAAAGAACTACATCTAGGAACATCATAATCAAACTCTTGAAAACCCAACAGGAAGGGAAATATTAAAAGCAGCCAAAGGAAAACAGTACATTACATACAGGGAACAATGATATAAATAACAGGTGACTTTTAATCAGAAATAATGGAGGCTGGGGTGCCTGAG